TCCTCCTCCTCTTGCACTTCCTCCACCACCACCTCCCCCTCCTCCTCGTCCTCGTCCTCGTCCTCGTCCTCCTCTTCCTCCTCCTCTTCACGTCACCTGCAGATTGTACAGATCCAGCCTCAGGAAATCATCCCCAAACCTCGAGCTGCACCAGAGCTGCAGCTGGCCCCTGATGAACATCCCGTTCCTTAGCCAGACCCCAGCCATTGACTGTCCAGAGAGGATGAAAACGCGCAGCGGCAGCTCCAGGAGCATCAGGTTGAACAGCTCCACGTTGCTCACTCCTTCGCAGTAGCTCGACGCGTCGGACAAGGTCGACTCCTTCCACACCTCTGCCACCAGCTGCTGGTGCAGCCTCCCCATGTCGATCCTCCCCTTGCTCCACTGCATCACTTCCGCCCACAGGGAGGAGAACATGCGATGCAGCGGGCAGTGCAGGCTCACACTGTGCTTGTTGATCTCGTAATCCACGTAAGGATACCCGTGAGAGCCGTCGGCCGGCCTCGTCCTGCCTACCTTGACCGCATTCTGACTCATCCTCAGCATGGCCCAGTCTAGGAGGGTGGAGTAGAGTCTCTTCATCACAGTGAAGGGAGCAGAGGACAGGAAGGCTGAAAGCTCCTGCCCGTCGGATCCTGCAGGGACTGAGATACCGGCAAGGGACTGCCGGTAGCCTTGGACGATGAGGCCCTGGAGCTGGCAGATCTCAGTGGCCAGGCTGAAGCTCTCCGACCAGTTCCGGTCGTCCCGCACGTGCTCGACCTTCTGCAGGGGATGCTTGTCCATCTCCTGCATGCTCTCAAGGAACCTGAAGAAGCTCTCGATGGTGTTGGCGTCGGACGCACCCTCGTCCTGGATCAGGGACAGGGAGATCTGAGGGATGCGAAGGACGTACACGAGGTCGCTCAGCACGCGGCGATAGCCGTTGGGAAGCTCCTTGGCGTCGCGGTCGTAGTGGTTGACGTCGATGATCTCGTCGGCCAGGCTGGACCAGAGGGAGGAGAGGAGAATCGACATCAGCCTCCTCTCCCTGACAAGCCGCTGCACCACTGAGGGGACGGTGAACACCTGGACGGACACGTCGAGCAGCGTGATGTTGCCGATAACGCTGCTCTCCTTCTTTGAGTCTATCAGAGAAGGATAGAGCTTGATGAAAGCGTCTGCGAAGAAGTTCTTGAACTGTCAAACCACGTAAGCACAAGAACCGACCAGACAAGTCAAGAGAGTCTACCTTCTCGTCAGCTATCAGCTGCACGTAGAGATTGTGCAGGACCGGGCTAGCTCCTGCCCAAAACGACTCCTCGTTCTCCATGAACACCTGGAGCGGCTTGTGCTTCCACGAAACCCCATGCAAGTTTTCGTTCGTATCCCGCAGAATTAGAGTCTCGCACAGCACCGATCGGAGGGAGTTGGAGCATGAGCAGATGTCAGCGAGGTACTGGAGAATCGCAGTCGCTCGGAGCTCAAATCTTTGCCAGAGCCGATGTGTCAAGGTCACAATCAACCCTGCCTTGCGCAGAGAAGAGACAATCTTGTTGCAATGCTGCTTGCTTCCCTGCTTCACGATGGCACTCCCGTGTTGGTGGGCACTCATCATGATGTTGTGGGCGATTTGTCGATCGCAATCTATCGCACGGACGATGCTGTTCCTCACTGTGTCCATGTCGTGAATGTCATCGTTGTGCAAGACAGCAAGAAAACCGTCGCCATCGTATTCAGCATCTTCGTTGCAAAGTAGACCATCGCAGCAGTACTCCAGCACATGGTTGAAGAGGAGAGGAGCGAATCTCAGCAACTGCTGGGGCACACGATCTTCCTTGCACGTCTCTTCGCTCTTCGCTTGATGGATACTACAGAAACTCGAGGGGTTCCATGCCTCGGGGTCTCCGCAGTCGCAACACCCTCCTCCTGGAGAGCGGGCGAGCTGCGTGCGATGCCCAAGCTTCCGGCAGGGGCTGTTCTCGAAACATTTGGAGCAGAAGCAGCAGGTGGGGTCGGCGCAGCATTGCAGGCACTTGTAGATCCACTCCTCGCTCTCGAACACATGCCCACACTTTGACGAGAAGCCTGTCTCCTTCAGCGAGGACAACCATGGACTCGGCTCCTCTCCAGCAAGCAGCCATCCAATGAGCTCAACGCATGTCGCAGGAGTCATGTCATCGTCTTGCTGCTTCAGCGCCGTAATTATCCTTTCCAACATGGAGTGATCAGGAGAAGACCGAGCCTCCGCGATGCGGGAAACAAACTCCTCCCGTGACAAGCACAGCACTGACCATGGGTGGTTGGCCCCGCCAACCTCCTCCATGCTGTCGGAGCTCATGCTCTTGCGGGAGTAGTTTCACAAGACAGCACACAACGTGAGCAATGCGATGAATGTCCTCACGATGTAGGAGAGAGAAATCGTCTGCCTCCCACCGACAAATCGACAATGCCTAATTGCACTCTTGGCGCTCCATCAGAGTCGTGGGGTCAGAACCTGCTGACTCAGTGTTATATCAGAACCAGAGAAGGAGTGATCCTGATCATCACATGATCACAAGTATATCATCACATGATCACAAGTATTCAGATCTCTGCAGCTACAGCAATGCCGGCCACATTGTGAACATCAAACACGTCACGCGAAGTGTCCAGATGAAACTCAGATCTACTAGATCTGTGCAATACCATGGAGCTCTACAACCCAACTCTTTGAGATGAGGCTAGTCTTTGACACCTTTCTCGTTTCTGTAGTATCTTGCTATCTGGATCGATACACTCCGCAAATCAAAACATCATGCAGCAATCCTCAATCTGAATGCTTGCAGCAAATGCGCAGCCAAGGTTGGTCGGCCACGTGGCAACGACGCCGTCCTCTAGAATGCTACTTTGCACATCTATTGTATTACTATCCTTCAGCTTCTTGATTTGGGGCGCAATCTTTTCCTTAGCCTCAGCCAAGCGTGATAAAACAGACTTCTTGTCTTCACTCCCCTGCTTGCCCTGGTTGTTTCCTTCAACTCTACATTCTCCACGTGTCTACATCGTCGCTCCTACATTATCGACATCACGATCATGCATCCTTGCTATCCTCCTTCCCATGTCGTCCTCCTACCGCTCTCTCCTCCATCCCGCCCTGCCCTGCTCCTTCTCCACTCTGGTGCATGGCGTTCCCTCAATTCCATCCCTGATGAAACACCCTACCCCCTCACTTCTTACCCCCACCCCACACATCCCACACCAAAAACTGACCTAGTCCTTGCTATTGTCTAGTGCGAATTATTTGCTTTTCTTTATGTGGATGCATAATATAATATGGTATAGTCAGCTACTAGTATCCCACCAAGCGCTCACTACCCACCCTTGAAATCATATACCCCCCTCAAATTTATCGTACCCTTGTTTTCCATCGATACAGTCTACTACCTCACCCATCCTTTCCCTTGAAAGACATGGTCTTGGGAGGGTGAGGTACCAATAGTATATACTACCGGTCATAAGGGTACACGTAATGAGGGTGGGGTAGCCTCTTAAGACCCCGGCGATGAAATGAGTCGGGGAGAAGCTGCAGGAGCAGGAGGAGCAGCAGGAGAAACACGAGCAGCGCGAGTAGAAGCAGGTTCGTTCGAGCATGCCAATGGGAAAACAACCTTCGTGCAAATGTAAAGAGAAAGAAATGGCATTCAGAGAAAGGATGATGCAGTGGTAAGTGAAATTGATGATATCAGGAAGATTAGAATGGAATTTCTTGCGGACTGAGAATGTACTCGGTCAAGAAAAGTATTTAGTTCGATTTCGGACATTTGAAAAGGCGAAAACGCACAAGACGATGGAGGCCAAGCATGAAAGCATTACGGGATGTGTTCGAGAAACCACCTAGGCAAGCCACAGAAGAGAGAACATTTTCTCTGTAAAGTCTCTCTGATACTGATCTCATTTCGAGACACTGAGTCTGTTGATGCGGGTGGGACAATACAACCAACAAACGATCAGAGAATAAACCACTTGAGACGCAAAAAGTGAACCAATTTCTATAAGATACAAAAGAGAGAGGAAGATGCATAATGGTATCTATCACAAACCGGATGATGTTGATCACATATTTATACCTCTTTCTACTAACACCTTGACCTTGCTCTCTGCGTTTTCGAGCTTCTCCTGCAACGCCATATTCTCTTCCTGTACAAGAGCATCAGATGTGTTCTAAACCAGTACGAACACGCCACACCTTGAACATCTCCAGCATTGCAGTGACTTTGTAGAGCTCTCGACGTCCCTCTGCCATCTCTGCTCGCAACTGAAAGATCTCGTCCGCAGACTGCCTTACAGAGTTCTCATGGTTTGCCTGATAAACTTCTGCATGATTCGCAGCAACAAGCTGCTGATCAGGAGCCCACTGAATGGGACGGAGCATCTCGCTCGACAGCCTGCTGTTCTCAGCCCTCAGGTGCCGATTCTCTCCTTCCAGCTCTGCGATCTTGGTCCAACACCCATCGATAGCTTGTCGAAGCTCCTCGCACTCTATCTTGTACTTGAGAGACGACCCAAGCTTCCGCGTGAGCTCGCGGTTGACAAACTCCAGCTTCTCGTACTCAGAGTAGGGCAGCGTTTGCTGCGGTCGACTTGCTTCTGCATGAGCATTCTTGCTAGCTACAGCCCTTGTGCTCGAGAATTTTTGGGAGGCCTTGTACATAGCTAGTCTGTTCTGCACAACGTTGATAGAAACTTGGAATCTGATGGAAAGCATGCGTCATCCAACTTGAGCGTTGAGGAAGAAGGAATGGTTATGCGTCAATCACCTTGACAGCCTTCTCCTAACTTTGCTTTCGAAATCTGTAATGGCACTCAAGTGCGACGTGAGGAAGTCTTGTAGATGTTTCTGTGTCAGAAGAGACATGCAGAAGGCTGCCCTCGTCGTTGTGTCTTGATCGAGAACTTCTCTCGGAAATTCTCCCTGAAGAGGGTCTTCCATCCTTGCCTGAGAACCTGCCATGGCTGTCATTCAAACAGCACTATGTCCCTGCCATGTTCCGGAACCTAGCTTCTGATCCCTGACGAGCATGTTCCTGCTCTCGTTCTCTGCCATTGGCCTGCAAGAAGTCAGTCTCCTCTTATCCTCTGCTCTGCGAGGAAGGGGAAGACACCTTGAAGATGGAGCTGAACTGTACGTAACGTAATCTGAAAACGGCTCCATGTCGTTTTGGTGGAGCTTTCTTGGAGTTTCTGACTCTTGTCGGTCATCGCCCTCCTCTTCTATCGTCCCCTAGATAATTCATCATGTCAATGTCTGGCAGTTGCGGATTCCTTCGGTATTTACCAAGACGCCTTCTGAATTCTCAAAGAATTGTACACCGTGTGCATCGAAGGTATGAGGGGGAGGGGGTGTAGAGGAGTCGTCTATGATCGCTGCTGAGTAGGAGGTGTTGCCCGGAGGCTTGAAGTCATCTGTGAAGAATTGATCCGTAGCCTGCCAGCCATGGTCACTTGTATCACATGCATTGAGTTACAAGTTGAGGAGCAAAAGGCAAAGAGGAGGTTACATGAAGCAGCTCCTGGAGTTTCCTTTGCAGGTCGTTGGATTTATCCATCACCTTCCCAAATTCCTGTTGTCGTACAGGAATCACAAAAAAAATATCAGAAAATTTAATTCAGATCCTTGTTCATCTAATGTGCTGCTTGCATTTGCGCAAAGTTGAGGAAAAAAGTGTTCAGAGCTCTCACCGATATCTCCAGCATCTTTCCGATGCTGAGCGAAAACGAAACAAAACACCTGAACAAATTCCCTCAGGAGAGCCGATTGAAGAAATGGAATAAGTCACAGATTAGGGCATGACAGGACAGGACAGGACAGGACAGAAGATTAGCTGGCAAGTTGCAACAAGAGGGAAGTGATAATCAGCAACAAGGGACCAGGGCTGAACATTTAATAAGGTGATCGTGCAGATAGAGACTGACTGAGGCTCAGAGGAGAAGAGGAAGAGGAGGTGTAATGACAACTCAACAGCAGGTCATGCTAACCGTTGAGGCCCTGAAGGGTACTACGGTAGTGAAGCAATCAGTGGTGGCTGCCCCCCTCAGGAGGAAGAAACCTTGTGCTAGGGGAGGGGAGGCCCAGCCGCTTGAAAAATATGTTTCTAGTCCTCGTTTTCACTCAAACTTGGATGGCCCTATCGTACTACTACTGGGCCGGGAGTACCGAACATGACTCAGTGACTACGGCGGTGTGACCGGCCGGTAGTACAGTAGTACCGGGTCAGTCGGCCGGCGAGTCCAGTCCGATCCGGGACGGAGATCGGACCCGGGGTTCGGCCGGGCGGCGGCGTCGCCCGAAGGGGGCCGCCCGGCCGCCGGCTCAGCGGTCGGCCGGGCGATCATTGCGGGGCCGGGCGGCTCGAGTCTCGGAACCGGGCTTTCCGAGGCAGGAGTCCGAGGCAGTCCCGGAGACTCAGACGGTTCGGACGCCGGGGCCCCGGGGGCCCGGGGCAGCGCCGGGCGGCCGAACTTCCGGGAGCTTAACGGTCTGACCGTCGACTCAGGCTCAGCGAGTCACGCCACACCGACTCTCCGAGTCTCGGACCGTACACGGTGGCGGCCCTCAGGCTGCCGCAGTGCGGCCACCGGGGCGAGAGTCAACCGGGCGGCGGACGGCGGCCCGGGGGGCCAACGGCCCCGGCCGCGGCGCCGCGCCGGGCGACTCAGTCCGATCTACAGACGGTCCGAGCTGAGCCGACGCCGGTGAACTTCCGCTCCGAGTCCGGTCACCGGCCCGCCGGGCGCGCAAGCGGCAACTTGCCAAGCCCGGGGCGGCGCGATCGGACCACGCCCCCCGACTCGCCTCTCAGGGTCGCCTGACTCAGTGATCTGTACGGGTGACGGCACGGTGAGTGACGGGCGAGGGGGTACTGAGTATCCCCTTGAGGTATTTGCTGCCTTTTCCTTTTGCTAGTTTTAAGTTGAGGCGGATTTTGTGGTATAGGCTTTTCTCATTGGATTAAAAAAAAAAAGCGGTTTCCATTTAAGTTATTTTCAAAATGACCGGACCGGTGGGTCCTGCAGAGGACATGGGGGGGAAGGTCGTATTTGCGAATCAAGAGGTTTGCGACCTCCGGCGGTATATAAAGGAGGGATTCGGGGTGGTCATGTGGAGGGGGTAGGGTGGACCTGCGGGAGGCACATCTTGCACATTTAAAAATATTTAAACATAAAAGTTTTTAATACCACCCCTGAGAAGTTCCGGCAACCCCCCTTTCGACAGTCAATACTACCACTACGTCTCTAGTGTACTACTACCCTCCTTTCGTCTTGCCCACAAGTACCCCTCCCACCACGCGTGTTGCTGCCTCGGCCCCCACTCTGAGCTTGATGAGCCCCCAAATCTTTCCTCAGGACCGGTCGTATCCCAAGACCCACCAGTTCCCATACGTAGGAAGTCAAAGGGACCGGTGACAAGCGTTTAAATATATATTAAAAGAGCAAATTGAATCGCCAGACATGGGGGTGGGCATGGGGCCTGCAACAAGCTTGGTCACCCACCCTACCCCACACATGACCCATCCATATCCCACCTCCCATGGATCAGATTTGTTGGAAACTGTTTGTCTAGGTGGTACCCCCATTCCGTGCCAAGGTACCCCCTTCTCAAAGCACTACACCTATACCACCCATCGAAACCGCGGAAGACCCTACACCCATGTGTACCATGATATGCTGATGTCCTTCAACGCGAACAGAGCCCCTCTCCTCTTCTATGCTATCACAATACTTAGAGAATCGTTCTCTAGATAACTGCAGTGCCACTAGGCCAAAACTCCACCCCTGCTGATGCGAGGTACCATCCTGATCACCTGTACCCTACCCTCAATCCAAATCGACTCCCACCAATTGTAATGAATACCCAGGACCCACCACCCTTGAATTTAACCCCGATTGCTCCCCTTTATCACCCACCCACTTGACGGCTAATGATTCCCCTTCTTGCCGAAGTTCTTTTTTCCTTCTACCTGCGACAACCCCTACCTCCTCCGAGATTACCCCACCCTACTCTGAGATGCAACCCTCCTAAAATACCCACCCCACGGTATGAAATACCACCCCTGCATGGAACAATGTGAGGGACGATATTTACAATTGCTTTTAAAGAGAGCTACAAGTTGGGACCCTTGCGGGTCATCCCCACCGTACCAGACTATGATCAAAGAAGTACCCACCGTTGGACTTCCTCCACCCCCCACCCCCCATGACATACCAACCCTTGTGAGAAACAAGTTTCAACAGGGGGGTAAACTACCCACCAACTCACGAACATCGAATACGAAACCTGATCGTACACTACCTAGAAATAGAAATAGACCCCTCCTCATTATATCACCCCTACCTACCTTAGACTACCTCAACGTTCAGGACCCTCTGAGATAAACAATGCAACCCCAACCCCCTCGATTTACTGTCATCGAAGTGGTGGGGTACAGAACTATTTGATCATCAAGGGGGGGTACCACCTTGCTTGAGCAGTGTCACCTTGTACTACACAAGTACCCCCTTTCATAGTACCTATCCATATTATTAGACCCTCTATGAAGAGAATAACCAATCTACCCCTCTATTTCCTATCAAATTACCCACCAAATTACCAAACAACATAAAGTTTTGAATACTTGACCCACCAAATACTAGAAGTACCCCACCGACTGCTCTCTCTAAAATTCAACATACCCCCCTTTTTTATTCATCATCGTCGACTACCGGTGATATTGTGAACCTACCCCACTTTTAATCGAATTTTTATGGAATATCATGAGTACCCCTATATTTGACTGATCCACACCTACCATTGGTTTTGTTCCTGGCCAACCTACCCCGGTGAAGATAGTACCCCTTTCGAATTACCCCTCAAAAAATCACCCCACCATCAGGAGATAGTGAGCATACTAACACATACCCCTGCAAAAGGACCTCCTAGACTTTCCTACCCCTCAAAAGGTACCTACAAGGATTTTGCACCCGTCCTTTCAACCGATCTTCTGATAGATACCCCCCTTTTCCCAACATTCACCCACCCGTACCTACTTTTGGAATCAGCTTTGGATGCATTCACCCCTCCGAAATACCCACATAACCCCACCCCCCTCCCCTGGGGGAGCTTAGGCTCCTCTTAAAAGCTCGTCGCGATCCTCTTCTGCCAACCTTGACATCATGGCTGGTCGTATGGCGCTCGCAGGAGGAGGAGTCGTTGCTGTATCTGCTGTCCTCTACTCTATGGCCTACGGTAGGCTCCCTGTTCTTTTCTTTCGCGCTCTTTCCTTCTTCACTGTTCTCCATTTGTGTGTTCCGTAATCTGGTCCCTCTGCTTCGAAAGAGCAGTGTCTGTGAGCTGTTTGATGGAAATGACATCACAGCCCCTGAATTCTGCTTCGCACGAGCTCGTATTCTCATGTGCTTCCTTGATGCATTTTCTTGCTGCTCAATCCCGTGAGAAAACAAAGCATCTGTGCCGGCGATGTTGCTTGCTCGTTCCGATTGTTCGTTGTGGATGCTCTGTCGTCCTCTTCTATTGCGATGGAGAAACTCATTTATTGTTTCACAGCAAAACCAGCTCAGGCGCAAGAGAAGCTCACACCAGAGCAGATGAGAACTCGTCGTCTAAGGTCGCATCTTTCAGGTATGGTGCTCTTTCGGGGCTACACCATGCTAACGCTGCGCAGGCAACCATCCCTCAGTATCAGGAGGGGACGACTGCCTGTCTAGGAAGTCGGGGTACCTAAAGTCTCACGGATCAGGCTCGGACAGCCACGTCGGTGAAACGGACAAGCGTTCGTCAGTGGGAGGAACTGTCGTCGTGAAGTAAATAGCTTCGATATGCCTGCCGACAGCCGGAGGCCCTCAGTCCCTGTTTTATGATTTTCCGACTTGCCACGGAGGTCGAGGCAGGTCGATGTTCTCAGTTATGTGTTTAGATAGTCTTGTGAAGAAAGAATTACCATGGAGTGAATGAAACAAGTTCGTTTGCTTTATTACGGGAGAGGGATCTGAGAAACAAGGTAGAAAGGAGAGGGAGAAGAGGAGGAGTAGAAATGACCTAGGGCTTCAAACCCTACGTTACCGGCTTGACTAGTTTGACCTCTCTAGAGGGCTTCAACAAACCCTACGTTACCGGCTTGACTAGTTTGACTATCTAACAAAGAATAATTACACGACTCGACAAAAGGCGTCAGAACTGGGCGAAGTCATCCTCGACGCTACCCCTCTCGGAGCGGGAGCCGAGCTCAGACCTGCTGCTGTGAAACAATCAGTGTGCTGGATCCGAACGCAAACTTCCAAGTCTCACCTCCCGGCGCCTGAGACAAAGTTGAGACGCTTGTCAAGCGCCTGCCTGAACTCGTCGAGCTTCGCGAGCGTGGTCTGGTGCCCATGTGCCGTGGTGGAGCTGGCAGCAGCTTGAGAGGGCTCGAAAAAGTGGTCCATCTCTTCCCTGTTAAGCATCGCAGCACAGAGAGTCTGCACGACTCGCTCCATGTCCCAGTTGCAGTGCTGCAGGAACTCCGTCGCCTGTATCGCAAGCTCCCCAGTCGGGTCTCCCTCTAGCCCTTGCCTGGCTTCATCCACAACCGGGCTAGCAGATCCCTGCTCCTCCACCTCCGAGCTCACTCCACCTTGTCCCTGTCGCGTGATCGCCTTGGCAACAGGCGCAACATAGTGGAAGCCGTGAAACTCGCTGTGCTTTTCGTAGCTGGAACCTCGCCGCCTCTCGCTGCTGTCCTGGGAGACGTCGAAGGACTGTGATGTGAAGTGAACGGCAAAGTTGCTGACGTCCATCATGTTCTTCACGCGCGGACGGAAAGGAGCTTCCACCTCCATGTTGAGAACCTTGTCGAAGTCAACACATACGAACCATGGGTGGGTCTTAATCTGCGACACGCCATCGTGGCTCTTCTCCTGCTCCGACACGATGCTCCCCAGCCGCTTCGAAGGGTCCTTGTGCAGCAGGCCCCGCAGGAGATCGCATGCTTCATCCGACACTTTAAGAGGAAATTCCAGCTCCTTGGTCAGGAGCTTCTCATATGCCATCCTGGTGTTACGGTTGTAAAAAGGGGGCAGGCCAAACAGCATCTCGTAGATGAGAATCCCGAGACTCCACCAGTCGACTGCCTGCCCGTGGCCGAGCTTGAGTATGATTTCAGGAGCCATGTAGTACGGCGAGCCGACCATCGTGTACGTCTTCCCGTTCATCGCATCCTTGGACAGTCCGAAGTCCGTGAGCCTGATGTGACCATTGCAGTCCAGCAAGATGTTCTCAGGCTGTAGAAATTGTCAGAAAACCCTACAGGCATCAGCGAAAGAACCTTCAGGTCCCGGTAGATGATGTCCATCTCATGCAGATATTCCAGAGCAAGAATGATTTCAGCCGCGTAGAATCTTGCCCTCTCTTCACTGAATCTCTTCTCACGATTGATATACGTGAATAGCTCCCCCCCATTGATAAAGTCCATCACCAGACACTGGATCGCAATCGATCAAATTTCAGAAGCGATGGTAACAAATGTTTTCTTACCAGCTTATCATTGCTCTGGAATGCAAAGTGCAATTTGACTATGAAAGGATGGTTGATGACTTCCAGGACTCTCCTCTCAGTCTTGGTTGACTGGACCTGATTGGTGTTGACCAGGTCGTCTTTGTTGAGCACTTTCAACGCGTAAATCTTCCCTGAATCGATTTTACGAACTTGAATGACCCTCCCGTATGATCCCTTGCCCACCTGCACGCACTCAACAAATCAAAAGTAACATCGTGATGGCACCATCGTAAGAAGTTCAAAATCTTGCAAGTTGACGCTGTTCTGCCCCACCCCTAGAACGTTTTCTATGCTCTGAACCCAATCCACCATCTCTTGTTCACTCCCCACATCGAAGAAGTAATCCCTGTTCGTGCATACACGAGTCAGAAGCCCGCCATCCCACCATTTTTCCACCCACCTTCTCTTTGTGTGGAAAATTCCAAATGTGAAAGGTCTGTTGGTGTGCTGTTCAGCCGTAGCGAGAGAGCAATCTCGAAGATCGACTGAGCCCTTGTGAATTCTGCCCATACGGAAATCTGCTTCGTCTTTCCAATAGAAGAGAAACCCATCCGTTAGTGCAACCCACCTGCTGACAGTATAAGAGACAACTCCACTTTGAATGTTTGATCTTGCCTAGTTTGCCATCGCCTTTTCAACAAGCTCTTGCTCTCCTTCCCCAACAGCCCCATCTTGTAGATGACTTTGCCATTGTATGCAAGACCAGCACCCGTTTCTATATGCTGTATCTTTTCTGTTTACACACATCATCATTCCACAGGATATTTTCAAGCACAGAAAAAGAAACAACCTGAAGACCTCCTTGGATCATCTTTCCTATCCGGAAATGTCAAGTTCACGAGCGGTCTTGCCGGGGGTGAGCTGCCAAAGTTCATCTGTGACGAGCCCGCTCCGGAAGCCTGGCCCCGGTGATGTGCAACAGAGTCGAAGCCTGGATCACAACTGCTCTTGTATCAAGCAGCCTCTGAGCCGATCTCTCCAGTCCAATATTGACGTCCTTTCGTGCAAACTCGAAGTGTGAAAGAAGTTGAGGAGATGCCTCTCAACTATTCCCTGCAAAGATTGCTATGAGTCAGAAACGTCACCAAAAGTCATCCTGTCCGTCTCCTTTCAAATCACTAACTGCGTCTTTGATGGTCATTACAACCATTGATTTTGTCATCTGTTGTAGAAAATATCTTCTTCTCTTCTCCAAACAACACACGATACTGAGCGATCTATCCATAGATATCGATAAGACCTCTACGTCCTGCGCCAAATACACAGGTTCGAGACGCTCCTTCAAGCCCAAGATTCATGAGACTTGTGTTTCCTACATACATTGATTGCATCCCTCCCCCCATGATTCATCCTTCTTTCCTTGTTGGCTCCCCTCGCTTGCTTTATGCTTGCTAGCGAGTCGACGAGACAGATGCCTTGCACCTTCCCCTGCTCCTCTCCTCATCCCAATCACAGCTTTTGCCATGCACATGGTTCAACTCTCCGAACATCTACTTCCCTCTCACCCTGACCTCAGCCCCTCTCCACCGCCATACACTCTGCATGCCGTCGCATAGTTATGCCCCCGAAGCAAAGCGCTACGTTGATGGCAATCTTCGTCCTACGGCTCGTCCTGCTGCTCGTTCTGATCACGGAACCGACTCCATCATCACTGATTTCATCCTTCTTTTGCCTCTCCACAGCTGCTCTACCTCCCTGTCTCCCTGTTCCTCCGCTCCCTACTCTCCGCACCGCGCCATCGCCATTCCCAATTTTGACCTTATCGAATATTCTTCAATCACTACCCCTCCCTAATAGCACCATTCTTCCCTTATTGCACATGTGGGTAGTGAAATTAGTTGAATCTGTTCGCTTAGATTTGAAAACTCACAGTCAAAGTCCACCTAGTGAATCGACGACAGCTTTCCACCCCATCCTCCCTCACAACCCCCCGTATTTCACCCCCACCCCTACTCACACGCAAAAGCGAGGGTCATCAGCCCCCTTGAGACCACCCCTACCAGCATAGAAACCCTACCCCACCCATGTACCACTCAGCAAACCGGGACCCCTGATCCAAAACCTGTACTCTCATACAGCTAGTGAGAGTTCAATGTTGACTAAAACTACATAGAAATAAATTTTAGTATATAAATAAGTTGTGATATTTCAGTACTGATAGAATCCATCGATCACTCACATAAAGTATCAGCCACGTATGGGCGCTGCTTTACAAAAATAATATATTGTAAATAGTTTTATAATACTACCATGAAATATTCTTTTACGAGCCCATATAATTACATATATGAGCCCCGATTGCAGGGTCAATATTGTAGGGCGACTAGTCGTGGCAACGGGGAAGGTCGAGGAGCGAGGAAGAGGACGACGAAGCGAGCACGATGATCCTAGCATGGCTCGCCAGTGGGATCGGGTGGATCCTATCAAGGTTTCACCCGGAGTACATCATGTCTTGCCTTCTCGCAAGCACCGCCATGTTCTTCCTTAGTTTCGATCTCGGCTTGCTGTCTTGGCTGACTGCCTTCATAACCGGCTCGAGCTCCTTCATGCTCTGGTTTGTCGTGCCAACTTTCCAAGAGTCCTACCCAAAGGAAGGATATGGGAGGAAGAAGAGGGGAGAAGGCCTGTCCTCTCCTTCCCAGCCTGTCAAGGGAGAGCTAAGGATCGATGGCGAGTGGCTCAAGGATTCAGAAAATCGGCGCGTGCTGCTGCGAGGAGTGAACCTCGGCGGCTCCTCGAAGATGCCGGTAGGGCTGCGGACCAACGATGCCAGCGGGCTGGAGAGGAAGGGCATCACGTTTGTCGGGCGGCCTTTCCCGCTCGAGGAGGCGGATGAGCACCTGGAGCGGCTCGCGTGCTGGGGCCTGACGTTCCTGCGCTTCCTGGTGACCTGGGAGGCGGTTGAGCACGAGGGTCCAGGGGTCTACGACCGGGAGTACCTGACGTATGTGCGGGATGTGATCAGGAAGGCGGGCCAGCATGGGATCTCCGTGTTTGTGGACCCCCACCAGGACGTGTGGTCCAGGTGGACGGGAGGAGACGGGGCCCCTGCCTGGACCCTTGACGCGGCAGGGTTCGAGGTGAGCAGGCTGCATGAGAGTGGTGCAGCGTTCACGCACCAGCACCACGGGGATCCGCTGCCGAGCATGATGTGGATCCCCAACCACATGCGGCTGGCGGCAGGGACCATGTTCACTCTCTTCTTCGGGGGGCGGGACTTCGCGCCCCTGCTCACGGTGGAGGGGAAGAACATCCAGGACTGGCTGCAGGAGCACTACATCCGAGCCATGGTGGCGCTTGCCGAGACCCTGAGGGACGAGCCCAACGTGCTGGGCTTCGATACCCTCAACGAGCCAAACTTAGGGATGATCGGGTGGGAGGACGTGAGGAGGAAGTCGGCGTACCTCAAGCACGGGTGGTGCGCCTCGTGGTTCGAGTCGTTCCAGCTTGGGGAAGGAAAGGCGCTTGCTGTGGATTACTACTACCCCTCCTACGTGTGGAACGGGAAGAAGACGCTGAATGCTGGGAGGGTCAGGGCATGGAGGGAGGGCAGGGAGTGCGTCTGGAAGCAGCATGGCGTGTGGGACGTGGACGAGCGGGGAGAGGCTGTGCTGCTGAAGCCGCACTACTTCCAGGAGGTGAGGGGGAGGAAGGTTAACGCGATGGGGGACTACTTCGTTCCCTTCCTGAGGAGATTCATGACGGCGATCAGGAAGGCTTCTCCTGGGAGTTTCATCTTCATCGACAGGGACACAGACTTCGAGGACCCCACTGCTGAGCACTGCCCCAGGTTCTCGCAGAGGAGCGAGGGGGTGGAACAGGAGCAGGAGCAGGAGCAGGAGCAGGAGCAGGAGCAGGAGCAGGAGCAGGAGCAGGAGCAGGAGCAGGAGCAGGAGCAGGAGCAGGAGCAGGAGGGAATTATCTGGGCTCCTCATTGGTATGACGTCGTGCCCTTGGTCGCCAAGTCTTTCCGCTCGTGGGTAGGGCTGGCACACTTCGAGGAGAAGGTCAACCCTTACAAGCCCCCGATCGTGCTGGGGAAGGAGCGGGTGGCGCAGGAGAACGCAGCGAAACTCAAGGCCCTGAAGAAGATCGCGAGGGGGATAAGGAGGAGAGGCTGCCCGACTATCATCGGAGAGATCGGGATCCCCTTCAACATGAACGACGGGGAGAGTTTCAGGACAAACGACTTTAACCTGCAGATCTCAGCCATGGACTCGTCCCTGCGCGCTGTGGAGGAAGCGCTGGTGCACGCCACGATCTGGAACTACACGCCTGATAACTGCAACCGATACGGGGATGGGTGGAACGGGGAGGACCTGTCTGTCTACTGCGCTGATCAGGTGTTTTGCTGTTGTTTTGTGTTTGTTATATGTTGAAATCGTTGTCATCGTTGCCTCTTCCTCTGTCACCAACACCATCACCAACATCTTGTCATCATCACAATTATCACCACCGCCACAAATTTCACCACCACCACCACCACCATCACCACCATCACCATCACCACCACCATCGTCAACATAGTTGTTGATTTCGTCATCGTCATCGTTATCAATAACAGTCATCAACCTGTCTATTGACATCTCCGTCTCCATCATCAACTTCAGCCCCCCCTGTTATTTTCTATCATCTTTGAAGTTCATTTTCCCTCTCTTCCTCTTCCTCCCCCTCCCCCTCCCTCTCACCGCTGGTACTGCAGCATTACGACCAGCAAGACGTGTTCTCGGGAGGACGGGCACTGCCTGCGGTGATCCGACCATACCCGATGAGGACGGCGGGGGAGCCGAAGGAGTTGAGGTTTGAAGTCAAGAGCAGGAGGTTTGTTTTCTCCTTCTGCCATGATCCAGGTGAAGGAGGGAGTGGGGAGGAACAAGTTTGACCTGTTGCAATAGAGTCGTCTGCTCCCACCATTATCTTCCTTCCTTACTTCCAGTATCCTCAGGTTGAGGATGAAGGAGGGTGTGGCCGCAACTAGGAAGGGAAGGAAAGGGGGGGGGGGGGGGAGGAAAGAGGAAGGATGGAAAAAAAAGGTGGGAGGGGGAGGA